CTTTATTGTTATGGCTTCAGCCTTTGATGACGTGGTGCTAAAGGGTCAGTTATCTTTAACAGACTTCCTTCTACTCTTCCTCTTGGGTTATCAGTCCAATTCCTTGTGTCACCCTACAGGGAGCATTGCTCAGTCTCCTCCTACCTCTTTACTCCTCCCTCTCTAGGTAGGCCTCCCTCTGTCAACAGGGATAAAGCACATGGGGAATAACTGTGTCCTCTGGGAAAGCTGTGTGGTAACACCTCTGAGGAAAGACGAGGTCGGGAGCTCACTGTTAGTCCGTGGTTGATGAAAAGGCAGCGATATAAAAGAGCAATAACTAAACAAATATATAATTTCTTAACTTTCCAAAAATTTTGAAGATAAACAGCTTAAAAGTTTAAATTAATTAGTTAAAATGTAGATTAAAAAAACTAAATCTAAAAATAAATGTATAAGTAAATGTGAAAAGTGGTGATGGCCCCATGCGGGAAGGTAAAGCGGATAAGCTCCAATGGGTGCCTGTCCTTCTCCAAGCATCTCTGCGCTAGGCCCTTCCTCCCAGGGCAGGCAAGAAGGAGAATAAGCTGGGTTGATTTTGTTTTCCCTTTAGTTCTCACAGGTTGAGAAGACCATAGCATCTTCAAGCATGTCCTCCCATTCTTTCCCCACGACCTTTCCATATCTTCCCCTCTCTCATCCAATTTCCAGTCTTTCTGCTCTCATTTTGGCTGATGACTTTGTACCAGATAGGGACTCCCTCATCTTACCACAACCAAATCTACAAGTGTTCTGGCATTAAAACCATCTTTTACTTTAGCTCACCTGCTGAAAAGGAGGATGTGTCTCAAGGTCTCTGGATTTCATCCCATCCCAACTCCTCTAAGATTTGGACCTTTCAGTTATCCTGTTTCATGCATCTTCAACTGTTTGCTTTCTATAAATCATTTCCTTCAGCATACAATCATTTCCTTTATTTTTTTTTTTGGTTGCATTGGGTCTTCGTTGCTGCGCAGGGGCCTCCTCTGGTGGGGGCTACTCTTCGTCGCAGTGCGCGGGCTTCTCATTGCGGTGGCTTCTCTTGTTGCAGAGCACGGGTTCTAGGTGCGCGGGCTTCAGTAGTTGTGGCACACGGGCTCAGTAGTTGTAGCTCACGGGCTCTAGAGCGCAGGCTCAGTAGTTGTGGCGCACAGGCTTAGTTGCTCCGCGGCACGTGGGATCTTCTTGGACCAGGGTTCGAACCCATGTTCCCTGCATTGGCAGGCGGATTCTTAACCACTGCGCCACCAGGGAAGTCCCGAAACATTTCCCTTTATCTTCAACTGTAGATAATAGTCTCCTGTGACAAACGCCCCCCCGCAAAACCCCCTTCAGCAATCATGCTACTCTTATGCTCACATTTGCAGCCAAATTTCTTTTACCAGTTGTCAGCATATGCCATCTCTAGTTTCTAACCTCCCATTCACATCTTCTGATCTGGCTTCTGCACCTACCATTTCACCAAAACTATTTTTGTCAGTGATAACTCTGTCACTTAATCTAATGAACATCTGATTAAACCTCTCAGTAGCTATCAATACAGCTGACCACTCCCTCATTCTTGAACCTGCCTTTTTCTTAGTTTCTCTGATGCCAAAAATGCTCTTGGATTTTCTCCAACTTCATTTATCAATCCACTTCACTCTTTTTTTCTTCTTTTTTTTTTTTTAGTGTGGAATATTTTAACACATTCTTAGAAATAAAGAATTATAGAGGAAAGTGGTTATCACAAGGAAGAGAAATCAAAACCCTAGAATAATTTCACTCTCTTTTATTGCCTCCTCTCCATCCTGCTAACATCGAAACATAAGAATTTGTCAGAGCTTGGTCCTAAGTTCTCTTTTATCTCTCTACACTGTTTATCCAGGTGAGTTCATTGATTTTCTTGGCTTCAAATACAATCTATAGGCCAATGGCTCCTAAACTTACTGCTTTAGTTCAGAGCTCTTTTCTGAAATATATACTTTTATATCAAGTGCATCCTTGACTTACTCACTTTGATGTCTCAAAGAGGTCTGAAACCTCTCATGTTTAAAACTAACCTAGAAGGACTCACTCTATGTGCTTTTGAGACTTGATATAAAGCAACCAAGTCAGTGGAGGATTAGCAAAAAATAGATATATAGATCAATGGACCCATACATATTTGGCCAATTGACTTTTTTAAAAGATTTTTTTTATGTGAACCATTTTTAAAGTATTTATTGAATTTGTTACAATACTGCTTCTGTTTTATGTTTTGGTTATTTGGCTGTGAGGCATGTGGGATCTTAGCTCCCCAGCCAGGGACCTGCACCCTTGGAAGGTGAAGTCTCAACCACTGGACCACCAGGGAAGTCCCGGCCAATTGACTTTTGAGAAAAATATCAAAACAATTCAGTGGTGAAAGAATAATCTTTTCAACAAATGATGTTGAAACAATTGGCCATCCATACACAAAAAAGATGAACTTCAACCCATACCTCACACCATATGCAAAAAATAACTCAAAATGAATCAAAGACATAAAAGTAAAACCTGAAATTATAAAACTTCTAGAAGAAAAACGTAGGAGAAAACCTTTGTTACTTGGGTTAATCAAACATTTCTTAGCTAGAACACAGAAAGCACAAACCATAAGAGGTAAAAATTGATAAACTGAATTTATCAAAATTAAATACTTCTGCTCTTTTAAAAACACCATTAGAAAAATGAAAATCCAAAGAATGAATTAAAATATTTGCAAAACACATATTTGACAAAGGGCTAGTATCCAAAATATATTAAGAACTCTCACAGATCAATAACAAGAAAACAAACAACCATTAAAAAAAAAAAAAAAAGTGGGCTTTCCTGGTGGCGCAGTGGTTGAGAGTCCGCCTGCCGATGCAGGGGACTCAGGTTTGTGCCCCAGTCCAGGAAGATCCCACATGCCACGGAGCGGCTGGGCCCGTGAGCAATGGCTGCTAAGTGTGCACGTCCGGAGCCTGTGCTCCGCAATGGGAGAGGCCGCAACAGTGAGAGGCCCGTGTACCGCAAAAAAAAAAAAAAAAAAAAAAAAAGCAGCAGAAGAAATGAACAGATATTTCACCAAAGTGAACACACAGCTGGCAGGCAAATACATGAAAACATACTCAATGTCTTTGGTCATTAGAGGAATTCAAATTAAAAGCATAATGAGATGCTATTAATACTTATTATAATGGCTAAAACAATCTTTAAAAAACTGACATTACGAAGTTCTGACAAGGATGGAGGATAACAGGAACTCTTACACACTGCTGGAGGAAATGCAAAAGGGTACAAGCACTTTGGAAAACAGTCTGGCAGTTTCTTATAAACTTACCATACAACCCATCTTCCCATTCCTAGGTGTTTACCCAAGTGAAATGAAACATGTCCATACAAGAACGTGTGTGCAAATGTTTATAGCAGCTTTTTTCAAAATTGTCAAAAACTAGAAGCAATCCAAATGCCCCTCTACTAGGGAGTGAATAAACTGTGTTACATCTATACAGGGAATACTATTCAGCAATAAAAAGGTCTGATTTACTGGTGAGTGCAGTCACATTGATGAATCTAAAATGCATTATGCTAAACTGGAGAAACCAGCCTCAAAAGGTTACATATTGTATAATTTAATTAATATGACATTCTGAAAAGATGAAACTAAAGGGACAGAAAACAGATCAACAGTTGCCAGGGGTGGGGGGAGAGTGAGGGAATTAACTACCAAGGGCATCAGGGGATTTTTTGAGATAATTGTGGTGAATGGTTTCACGACTATCTATTACTCAAAAATAGTGAATTTACGGTATATAAATTATACCTCTGTAAACCCAACTTAAAAAAAAATGGTATAATGATCTTCCCCACATACATGCTTCTTCCCCAAGTTTTCCCATCTTAAAAAATGGCATCACTATCCAGCCATTTTCTAAAGCCAGAAACCTGGCAATGATTCTTGAAACTTCCTTTTCTGTCACCCAGCCCCACCCCCACCTATATCAAATCCATCTCCAAGTCCCACCAATTCTGCTTCTAAAACATATTGCAAACCCATTTTCTAATTTTCCTATCCAAGCTTTCCCCTTAGTGCAAATCATCATCCCCCTCACCTACAATATTGCAAGAGTTTCCCTGCTGGTCTCCCGGCTTCCATTCTTGGCCTTCTCCAGCCCAGCTTATGAATGACCCCATATTGATGATCTTAAGTGAAAATTAAACTGTGCCTTTGCCTTGCTTTAAACTTTTCAGTGGCTCCATTTCTAAACCCCACACTTGGCACCCATCAGGCCATATATGATCTGACACATCCAATGTCATCTGGCGGCACTACCCTCTACCCTCTTGTCCTTCCCACCCACCCCCCCATGATATTCTGGCCATACTGGCCTTCTTCCATGTGTTGGATATTCCAAGTTTTTTGCTCCCCTAGCAACTTTGCACATGCTATTCCTTATCCCTCAACTTTTCTTCTTTGCTCTTGTTTTTAATGGCCAGCTCCTTCTCATTATAAAGTTTCAGCTTAAATATTGTATCTTTAGAGAAGTTTTATACATTTTATAATAGTTTACTCCTGACGTTCTCTTTCATAGCACCTTATTTTGCTCCTTTCCCAATTTACAGTTATGTATTTATAATTTATTTCATCAATATTCATCTCCCCTACTAGAATATAAGCTCCTAGAAGTCAGAAACTATTTTCTCTTTTTACTTTCTTAGCACATTACCTGACATCATAGAAGCTAATAAATATTTGTTAAATAAATGTGTTAATTAACGAGACTCGTATAATTAAAACAGTAATAAGAATTCAATGTGATCATCACTGAATGACTGGGGCCAACATAACTATCTCTCTACATATTTTTAGGGCCCCCTGAATTAGGCTTAATGAATAGAGATATGTACTACATTGCCGGAGGTAAGTAAGGGTCACCAATTTTCAAAACCATAACTGGGCAAGTAGATGACAATGTCAGCCACCCAGAAAGGCTTACCTCTCCAAACCAATTGCTTGGCACAGAGGATGGAGCTTGGAGTTGTACAGAAGTGTAAAGCTGTGTGTCCACTTAAGGAGTAGCAATTGAGCTTTGCTCCACGGTCACAGAGAATCTTAACACAATCCAAGTTGGCCATTTCACAAGCCACATGAAGAGGGGTTTTCCCATTAGGTCTACAGTTGATTGTAGCGTTGTGGTCCAGGAGCACCAGAAGACATTCCACGTGACCAAACAAGACAGAAAGATGCAGGCCCGTGGCCCAGGAAGACTTTAATTTGTAACTAGGCAACCAATAACCTGAAAAAAGTAAGGGAGAGAAAGTTTAACTTTTTGGCCTAGGATTTCTCCCTGTGAGAATTAGTGAGGATTTTTACAAAGTATTTTACTTTCGTCACATTTATAAAATTGGGGGATGATTTGGAAGTTGTAAACTAGTGGCTGATGGATCTGCAAATGTTTAGCTTAGTAGTGTATTTGGATCACTTAAATGGGACGGGGCTCTCTACTATTCCCTATTATCTTGGTCCTTCATTTACTTTACCTTCCTGGCCATCCAAGGCATTTGTGTTTGAGACCTTCATTTATGTGACTGCATTTTATTTTACATGATGATTTACATGAGATTCTTATTAAAGATTTTTTTTTAACTCCCAATCATTGTCTTGAATGTTTCCAAAGCTGTTACTTACAAGCTTATAATTTTCATTCCATCACAGTTCTTTTTCCCTCTAGTTGTTGCTATTGTCAAGCTAAGGTATGAATGTATTTGATGTCTTTAGAAAATTTGTCACACCAAGATTTTATTTGCCTATCAGTTTATACAACACCTTTTTCCGAAGAAGAATTAAGAAGAATTTATAGCAGCTTACCAATTTTACACAAGATTTTTTTAATGATCTAGAAAATAAGGGCAAAGGGAAAAATAAGGAAGGAAAATAAAAAGAGGTCCAGGGTCAGATAGGTACCAAAATATAAACTGTGTTGTATATATGCTAGAACCACACTGTAAATTTACCTTTGAACTTCCCAGGAGCCAAAATAAACAGGAAAACATGATGTGTTGTACAATTAACTATGCCCACAAGGTATACACAAATTAATTGGTCAGGAGAAGCATAGTTGCTCCTAGAACTGAGATCTTAAATAAAATTTTCCCATTAGCTGTTGGAAATCTCTCTCTCTCTCTCTCTCCTCCCACCCTCCCTCCCTCTCACCCTCTCTTTCCTTTTTCCCTCTTACCTCTGACTTCTAAACACTGAACTAGTCCCTTTTTCCCAAGTGTCCAATGATTACCATTTTGACAAGCTATAACAAAGATAACTTTATAAATATTTTTTTCAATGTCAGTACCCAGAGCCATGGCATTAAGCTCACTATAAGTGGAGAATGGAAAATAGGTACAGAAAGATGAAGTATTTAATGGCAAGATGAAGATGTAGATATAGCTCAACAGCTTAGAAGAGACTCTAGGGTGGAAACAACAATACAAATTTTAACATGGATAAATCAGAAGTTTGTTTTTACAATAGGTGGTAAAAATTCCACTATGCGAGTACAAAGTAAGCAGATTATGAGTTTTTTTTTCCTTAGATTTTTTTTGGAAAGATCGTCTTTATTCATTAATTAATTAATTTATTTATTTAATATTTTGGCCGCACCACGTGGGATATGGGATCTTCGTTCCCCAACCAGGGATCAAACACACGTCCCCTGCATTGGAAGTGTGGAGTCTTAACCACTGAACCACCGGGAAGTCCCATCAGATTATGATTTAATGGTAATTTATTTGAGGAAAAACCTAAGTATTTGAGTTGACAATAATCTAGAAATGAGCCAAGAGTAAGATGAAGCTGCCCAAATGCTGATACAATCTTTAGCTACATTAATAGGGTATAGCACCCAGAACAAGGGAAGCACAAGTTGTGTTCTTCACTGATTAGATGAGGTCAGAAAAATCTAAAATATTGTGAATACTTCTGGGCAACAAAAATGAGCATCTGGAGGGGACTCAGAGGATGATGACCACGTTAAAGGTGGGCCTGGTGATCAGGTATTAAAAGTCTCTCATTTAAATGCAAAGAACTACCTAGGCACCACTCCTGGGTATTTATCCTACGAGTACATTCACTCATGTGTGAAATGCCACATAAGGGCCACTGTATTACACAACTCCCAAGAACACTACTTGCATTGAACTCTTTATCAAGAGTATGAAGTTCCTGGGAGTTATAAATCCTGGTAACCTGGCCCAGGACAACAACATGCACTACACTACAGCATTGTTCTTAATGGTTAGTGATTGGAAACAACCTCAATCTTCATCAATAGGAGACTGTTTAAAGTATGTACATCCATACAGTGGAACACTATACAGCCATTACAAAGAAGGGGGCAGTTCTGTGTATACTGGTATGGAAAAAATCTCAAGATATATTATTGAGTGAGAGAAGCAGGGAGCCAAAGAGTGTGCATAAAGGCTAACATGTAAGAAAATATTTATAAACACCTAACACAAGAAACTGGTTACACTGGTGGGGACTGGGGGACAAGAACATAGATTTACTTATCCTTCAATGCTCCCCTTGAGCTTTTAAATTTAGTACCTTGTGCGTGTATTACTATTTATAAAAATAAATAAAATTAAAACAAACTGTTGTGCTCCTGGCCAGGGGGAAAAATAATTTAGTTTAAAAAGGCCATTTAGGGCTTCCCTGGTGGTGCAGTGGTTGAGAATCTGTCTGCCAGGGCAGGGGACACGGGTTCAAGCCCTGGTCCAGGAAGATGCCACATGCTGTGGAGCAACTAAGCCCGTGCACCACAACTACTGAACCTGCACTCTAGAGCCCACAAGCCGCAACTACTGAAGGCCGCGTGTCTAGAGCCTGTGCTCCGCAACAAGAGAAGCCACCGCAATGAGAAACCTGTGCACTGCCAACGAAAAGTAGTCCCTGCTCGCCACAATTAGAGAAAGCCCATGCACAGCAATGAAGACCAAACACAGCCAAAAATAAATAAACTTAAATTTTTTTAAAAAGAGGTTATTTATAGGGTTATGCACAATGCTGATTAATCCTGAGGGAATGAATGCTCCCAACCAGAAGTTTGTTTTTCTATGGCCCACCCTCCAACCTAGACAGACAGAAAGACAGACAGACAGACAGACACACACACACTTTAGTGTCTTTTCATCTCACTCAGAATTCTAGGGCCATTTTGCTTTCTCATCCTCCCAACTCTCCCCTTATCCAAAGTTGTTCTTTAAAAAGAAATCCAAAGTTAATTTACACTAAGGTCTAATAGACTGAGGATTGTTTAAAGTGTGAACCTCTTAGGATTATCTGAATTTATGTAGGAACCTGTATTCATACAATAGAATTAAGTTCTAAGTTACTAATTCCAGATTTCAGACACTGAAAAGGGAAGGTATTTGGTGATATGAATTTTCCCTGGTAGAGACAAACAGTTTCACAGACAGTGTGGAGTGGGGAGGATCTCCCCTGTGTGTGTGTGTGTGTGTGTGTGTGTGTGTGTGTGTAAATAGATATGCACACACAATACATTTGTATATATCCATATACACATTTCCATTTAGCTGTGCACATTGAATCTGTGTTCCAAGCATAGTTTTTAAGCTATATGGTATGCAACCTGCTTTTGATAAGGAAGGAATCACTTAACACTAATACTTAGTCATCTTAATACTCAAATTTCCTCTACAAGCAATTTGCAAAGAGAGCCTCTTCTAACTCTCTTGCAAAGAAGCTGGTTCCAGATCTGAAAACTGGAGTGTGTTTTGCTTGCCAATTAACGGCAAAGATTAGGCAGCTCTATGCAGCAACTGATTGGAAACTCAAGTCTGCTTCTGCAGTGGTAAGAAAAATGATCTCAGAAAGGAAGCAGCAGAGAGCTGATTAAGAAAACAGCATTTTGATGTAAAATCAAAGAAACACAGAATGTTAGCGCTCGAGGGAAGATTATCCAGTCCAAGCCTTTCATTTTCCAGATGAGAAAACTGCCACTTTTTCAGCCTGCTAGAGCCATAAGTCGTCTGCCTCAGTCCAAGCTAATGGACTCAGAATATCTGCAATGCAGGGTTTCCATCTGTCTTTGTCTTTGTGGAAGTAGAATAGGTTTAGCGCCAAGCCTGCTTCACAAATCATAAGGAAAGAAAGAAGATCCCGATTTCATCTATATGTCACATCTCTGATATGGAGATACATTTGCTGGTTGATTGTTTTTTCTTCCTCTTAAATTCCCAGGAGCACTTAGAGAATCTATCCTGCCTGTTTATTACATGAATCGGTCATCCTTGATCTCTCATTCAGTTTCATCTCCGTGTCCTATAATCATAATCATTAACCAGTAAATTGGGCTCAGAGATGGCCAGGTGTTGGAATTCAGCCAACCTCATAAATGAAATTGTGCCTACAACTCACCTCTCCTAGAAAGGAATGTGAGTGGTAGGAACGTAGATGGGTGGGTGGCAGCAAGACTCCTTAGCTGGTGCCCCTAGGGAGCTGAGTGGAGAGATAGGAAGAGATAGTCGGATACAGATCAGGGTCTGTCGCAATGTATCTTGAAGCTGCATTGCAGAACTTTGGTGGGGGGTAGTGGGGAGGAGTTTCTGGATAATTCAAGCCCTTGCAAAGCAGGAAAGCCCACTGCAGAGACAAGCAGTCCACAGCAAACAGGCCACACACATACAGTCACCACCTTTTTTTTTTTTTTTGCTGTACGCGGGTCTCTCACTGCTGCGGCCTCTCCCGTTGCGGAGCACAGGCTCCGGACGTGCAGGCTCAGCGGCCATGGCTCACGGGCCCAGCCGCTCCGCAGCATGTGGGATCTTCCCGGACCAGGGCACGAACCTGAGTCCCCTGCATCGGCAGGCGGACTTTCAACCACTGCGCCACCAGGAAAGCCCCAGTCACAACCTTTAAATGACGATACGGTCACAGGTCACTGTGTACCAAGTGTGGAAACAAGCAGGAGTGTCCGTTCCACCACACCTACCCTCACTGAGGACCAAACCTGAGGTAATGCCATTGCCAAAAAACCACAGTGATGCAGCACCCATTCACACACTTGTGTCGATGCTGGTATGTCAAGAGATCAAAATTTGTCCTGCAAAATGTAACCCCCATGGTCACAGCATGACAGAAATACAGTTAACTAATCGGGCAGATTCATTTTGTACACGCTCCCTTCTTTCCACAGCAATATTGTCCCAGGGCTTCAGAACTCAAAATGTGATTTATTCTTCGCATTTGTCTTTCAAAGGGCCCCCCTCTGCTCTCACT